GATGTCCGGAAGCACAAAGCAGCCGGCTTGGATATTCCCCGAGAAACTATCTAATTTCCTTTTTTAAAGAATTATCTGATTTCATTCATCCCCGACCGCGCCACCTGGATTCGAACTCGGGATTAGTTTAAAAAAAAAAAAAACTCAAGACAGTATCTCAACAGGAGATGGGTGCAGGAACTGAGTCAGGGCCGTTGGTGGTGACAATTTTTAATCCTCCTTTTTTTTTTTTAATAATATTCTTTTCTAAATCTCGAATCCGATGATCAGAAGGTGGAGAGCCCATAATCGGCAATCTGATCGGACGACGATTCGCGTACTACCGTCTTCCAAAACCGAGCACAACGCACCCTTATCATGACCGTATTGGACCCGAAAGATCGCTTGTATACATTCATCATGAGGGCGCGTTGTGTTCCGAATCGGGGGAAGACGTTAACTTCCACAGGTTGGCTATGGCGGCTCTCCTTTTCCGTTGTAGATGAAGGAGATCGTGTGGAGGAACAACGTCTTCCTCCCCCCCCCCCTTTAAAAGAACGCAAGGGGAGATGGTGTGGCGTGAGTCGTGTCACAACCCCTTCGCGGAGGGGTGAACTTTTTTTTTCTTTTTCTTTTTTCCGGGGGAGGGGGGGCAAAGAGATTTGGCTGAGTGGTAAATGCAGCCCTTTGGGGAGCACTTCGTTTCTCTCATTGACGGTGGGGGGAAACGGAAGCTAACGAAAGCTAAACGGAAGCTAAACGGAAGCAAAACCGAAGCAAAACCGAAGGTAAACGGAAGGTAAACGGAAGGTAAACGGAAGCTAAGGGAAGCTAAACGGAATCTAAAACGCAAGCTAAACGGAACCGGAACGGGAGCTAACGGAAGCTAAGAGAAGCTGTTCCGCAAGATTGTGCTACCTATGTTGGTGTTAATCTGACCTGTGGGAATTAAGAAAAAAAGGAAAAAAAAAGCCGGAGAAAAATAGGATTAGACCTCGTACTGTAATAGTGATTGGAAAGGAAATGCTAGTTGTTCCTGGAAATAAATAAATGCTAATTCGGATTTTTAAAATTAATAGTAGAAAAAAAACACGAATCTTGGTAGGGGGAACACGGAACGTTATGGACATTAAGATAAGAACAGCAAGTCAGAATCGAGGTCCGACCACACGCTTGCATACACGGCCGTGCTACTCATGGGGAGAATCGTATGCGAAAACAATCTCGAAATTAGTTCCAAAGAACAGATATGGTCGAGATAGCACAACAGCCGTAGCGAAGGCTACGGTATCACCTCCTTTCCTCCGCCATGAAAGAGTGAAAACGCTTGAGGATGGAAGCGCCTGGCATCCCCGACTAGTTTCAACCGCCGCCAGATAGCGGCCTCATCAGGGGGATTTCGAGATGGCTACTAAGCTACAGTACTAATCCACTTATACTCATTGCGCTGGTTTTGATTTCCCTGAGAGCTCGCCCCAGCGGGCGCCGAGGCCGAAACTTACCGCCCTTCCCAACCGAGAGGCACATTGCCCAGGTTTCCCGCCACTTGTCAGAGCGGGGTCATGTCAGCCCAGTAATTCCCGCGCGGCCTGATATTTCCTTCGTCGTAGTTCGAGTACCCCGCCGGCTTAAGGTCCCTCCCCTGCCTCGTTTTGTTGCCCAGGTTCAGGTACCACGTTTTCCAATAGCCGTGTTCACGGCCTCACAACTTTTAATAACCCCTGCATCGTGACATAACTCCCTACAAAGTAGCCATATTCCCGCCATGCTTACCACCTCAGTAGTTATTCCTCACCTCCTACCAACCACAAAGCCTGCACCGCCATTTATCCCACGATGGAGCGCGTCTGTTCACAAACTTCGCCAGACAGTCATTAAACATCCAGGTAGGATAGTTCTGCAAGCGCAATTGTCTTTTTGTAGTTAGCAATCCCAGTCCTGCCAGTTCCTCTGACGTCGCCATACTCCGCATTCGATGCAGCGTGCAGGTGATGACCGCCTTCTTTTGCCTCAACGTGGAGAACGATTCGAAATCTTGGAAGGTACGATAGGAGAGACTCTCTTTCTCCCCCCATACTTGATCAAAATTCTTTGGAATGATCTGGCACGACACAAGGTTCCTTCTGATTTCCATGCGCGTTCCCAGAAACTCCCAAGTGTCCTCCCCCTCATCTGTTCGTTTTAAGAATACTTTCTGGTCATACGCTTTTTCAAACGTCCCCAGAATCCTTTCTTGGCGACTTCCACCGTTCCTCAGCGGGCACCAGATGAGGATTGTGACATCGTCCATCAACCTTTTTCCTCTGACCAGCCCTGCCAAAAAATGGTACTCGTTCATTGCACACAGTATGCATGCCAGTGGGGGGCTACTGCTTTTCCCCATTGGGATGCCAACATGCTGCTGGACAAGTCTTCCGGATGCCGATACGTAGGTATGCTTCAACTCGAACTCAACCATCCCTCTGATTAGCTCAAAGTTCACCTCTAACCAAAAATCATTACCAATCTTTCTTGCGAACGCCGCACCCTTGCCCCTACGCCTAGTACTAACCATCGTACGACCCTTTCCCCTGTACCAAGCAAGGATTCAGTCTATGGCGTTCATGATGGAGTCGTGGGGCAGTTGGCTGAACATTTCCTTAATGTCAAATGCTGCCCCCACTAACTCACCCTTACCTTTCCTTCCGACCCATTTATTAACTTCCATGACCCTATCCCTTAGCAGTTCGGTGGATTTCATATTAAAATGCATGGATTTAGGCAAGCAGAATAACAAATGGTTCAATGCCCTGGCCACCCGTCCGCTCGCCGTCTTGGAAGGTTCAGAGAAGGAGGGGCTGATCGGCCGAAACTTGCATATATCCTTATGCTTAGGGATAATGTAGGCTCGGCCAACTGTCCCCCGCTTGTCCCACCTCCCTAATCCATCCAACTTTCCTGCTTTAAAGTCCGCTTCACACTTGCTTAACAATATTTTCTCCTCTTCCCATACAGCGCTGAAACTCTCGTTCCCCCAGAAAGTGTCCTTCATGCCTTTTGCATAAACCTCAGGACACATGACAACAGTGTCTGATGTGTTCCGATCAATTGCACAGCACATCAGGCCACGACATGCATTTTTTACTTCCTGCACCAGGTTCCCATGATCCGTCTTTACTCCCAAGTTCTGGTTCACACATTTTTCAATATCCCCCCTGTCAATGACTGAGCTCAAACCCATTTTTCCCAAATAGTCATTCACTTCCGTCACCGCTCTGTCTTTCTTCACTCCCCCCACACACAGAATATTTCGGGCGTTCAAGACAATCCCTTGCATGCCCTGGACTTCACTCCGCCTGCACAATATGTGGCCCTCCCTCCTTGGGAGGGCGCTGTCTGCACAACAACAGACGCCAACCGACTGCTGTGAGGCAGCACGGTGGTTATGGATAACCTCGCCAACGGATGAATTTCGTTTCCATACCATCAGGAGTTTATGACACGCATATTCGGCGAGCGGTTCCGGCAATTCATCCCGAAACTTCGAACAAACCACTTCACGCAGCTTCCGCTGTGACAGACTCGGATCATAAGTAGTTCCTACACACAACTTCATTCTAACATTAAAACTAAATTTCTGCCTAATAACCCCGGCCAGAACTTCCTTCAACGTTTTTCTAGTCCCTTCTCTTGAAAAGAGGTTTGCTGTACTCAGAAGCTTCATAAGCCTTGCCAAATCGTAGTTATATAGCTTCTTCTTATGCCAGGGGTTACGAATCAGCTGGTGCAGCTCACGCTTCAGCATGCGGCTTCTTTTCGACAGACTCTTTGTCTGCAACTTCACAATTTGAAAGACTACTCCTTGCTCCAATCTTGACTTGGTTTCCCGAATTAGTTGTTGTTCGTTGTCAATCATAACAACTGAATCACCAATCTCCTTCACAACCTTTCTCCACTTATGAACCCACAGTCTTCCCCCTTCCGTACTCACCAACTTAGTTTCCTCCCAAGCTCGCCTACACACATCTGTCAGGTTAGTAGACCGGACTTCCCCTGATTCAAAAACCATTGGTACATCCAAGCAATAGGCCAGAGATCTCTCTTTTCTTCTTTCTTTTCTGCCTTTTCTTTTGGTTCGCTTGCCGACTCTCTTTACCCCTTTAGCGTTCAGTGTGGGGCACCACTTCCCAATAAACGCTCTCTCCATTCTCGCCAAATCATTAGCGGGGACAAATGCGACAGGTAAGGCAATGTAGTTAGAAGAACCATGGTTTCTTAACCAGCTATATAGCTTGGAGTTTCGTGCTCCATCCGGGTGGTCCGTAAGGTATATATGTTCATCCCACCGGGTTAGCAACGACCTACTAGTATGGCCGATATACACGGCCCGTACCCCCGGATCGATTAACACATAAACGCATGACTCCGGTTCTTCCCAGTCTGTTAACTTATTATCAATGAAGTCTAACAAATCACCTAGAAATTTACTACCCCATTGAACCCCTCCAGTCAGAACAAGCAACACAAATAGATATCTTAGCACGCTTTCGAGCACTACACGAAGTCGATGGTTCCTTAGTACGAGGTCGGCCGCGCATAGTTTACGCAGTTCCAAGTACTTGGCAAGCTCATTCCACCGGGTCTTCGTTGCGTTGGCCATTACTCCCAGGCCCGGGCTCGGATCCCCGAGTTGGCTGGTCACGTTCCGTCACCTGGATGTCTCGGATGACGATGTTACCTCCTCGTGGTCTTGGAGTTGTTGCCCTCGCTTGCTGCGGCGCTCGTTCGGTGCTGAAGTACATAACTCTCAACTCTATCAGCTCATCTGTAGCATCCGACCGTCCTCGGTAGACTACCCCCGCCTCCCTACACATTTCCTGGATCGTTGGCTTCGTCTTCTTCGTCAGGAACTTACGGAGTGCTTTACGCAGTGCCACTACCGAAGTGAAGTCGCTGGCCGTAGGTGCACCTTCCCACAAGGCAGATTATCGCAGTGGGAATCCGAGTTGCTCTGTACTGGTCCGGTCCCGTCTGCTCGGCACCCGAAGGCACGGAGACTTGTCCTGGCGGGGAGTGCTTGGAGGTTCGGAGGTCGAGGCCCTCCCGACCTTCGAAGGCGATTCGCCAGGCGGGCTGGCTTGACACGCCAAAGCCGGAGGTTGCCGCTTGCGTTTCTCGAGACGCTCCTCCGCAGGGTCTTCCTCCTCCTCGTTTGAACTCATCTTGGCCATTGCTGCTTTCCCTTTCACCACTTTTTCGGATACAACTGCCTTCTGCAATTTCTTGTCGAACATCTTCTCGAATTCTTCTCTCAACGTAGCCTTTTGCTTCGCCAACAGTATTTCCAGCTTCCACTCCCGGTCCGCTTCTTTCTTTTCTTTTGCTTTCTTTTTCTCCAACTCAATGCGATTCTTCTCCTCTCTTACTCGTTTCTCCTCCTCCTGTTGTTTATTTCGTTCCACCGCTTCCCTCTGCTCGGTCTCGCGTCGTTCCTCCATTTCGATATGCCTTTGCGAAAACAGGGATACCGCCTTGAGTGATTCCTCCAACTCCCGACTAATCCCAATCATATTAGTTGCCTCCCCTGTCGACGAAGAGCTGCTTGCTCCATTGCTATTACGTCCTCCGTTCCAACCTCCTCCACCACCATTGCTGTCGTTGTTCCAATTGCCGCCACCTTGGTTTTGCCTGGGCGCGTTGCACTCCTGGGCAATGTGACCGAACTGGTTGCAATTGTAGCAGCGAGCAGACTTCCGCCAATCGCCACTGTTGCCGCCATTACCGTTTCCCCCACTGCCCCGGTTGTTCCAATTCCCACTATTGTTCCAGTTCCCTTGGCTGCCTCCATTCCAATTACCGCCATTACCCTCATTTCTACCTCCTCCGTTACCGTTTCTACCTCCCCAGTTACCACCTCCACCGTTGACGCCGTTTCCGCCACCCCCATTACCACCGTTGCTCCCGCCGTTGCCGTTATTGCTGCCGCCTCCATAGCCGATGTTACCGCCCGCACCATTCCAGTTGTTCCCTCCGCCGTTTCCACCGTTCCCGCCATTCCACCCACCCCCATTCCCTCCGCCACCGTTTCCGCCATTTCAGTTACCATTATGGTCCCTTCCCGTTGCCATTGCTAAGTCCAGCTCCTTACAAAAGATCGTCTTCTCGCAGCTCACAGTATCGTGTCTTTCCCGTCGCGTGAACAGCTAAACAGCTAAACAGCTAAAACGCTAAAAGCTACAGGGCCACCAAAGCACAGGCCGGTTGCCTCTGCCGGTACCAGATAAGAACAGCAAGTCAGAATCGAGGTCCGACCACACGCTTGCATACACGGTCGTGCTACTTATGGACATTGTTATAAAATTGAAAAAAAAAAAAAAAAAAAAAAAAAAAAAAACACTTATGGACAAGAGGATGATGATGATCTGAGGATCTATTAATTTCGTAATTAGTTATTGGTATCTGGTAATTAGTAACTAGTAGTTAACAACTCGCGGTAATCAACCACTAGTGATTAGTAATTGCTAGTCAGCAATTACAATTACTAAATTAAATTCGTAATTCGTGTTGCGCATTTCGAAATTAGTGATTAAGAACGCTGAGGGAAATCGGCAATGATCGTGTTCCAGTAAATACTGAGAAATGCTTTTTTTTTTTTTTTTTGCGTATTGCTCGAAGGGAGCTGTTTTCACAAACGATTTTTTGTTTTTGACTTCAGAAGAAAGGAAAGGGACTGACCTGGCCCTTTTCCGCGTCGGGATCGTTGTGGGTGTGCGCGACACTGTGTACTATGTGTTTGTGTGTCTGTCTGTCTCTGTCTGTCTGTCTGTCTGTCTGTCTGTCTGTCTGTCTGTTTGTCTGTCTGTCTGTCGTATCAAGGAACACAGACAGACAGACAGACAGACCGACAGACCGACAGACCGACAAACAGACACAGAAAGTCAGACGGACGGGACAACGACAGAAAGCCAGACACAAAGAAAGAAGGAAAGTCAGACGAACAGAGAGACAGACAGGCAGAAAGAAGAAAGAGTCCTTCAGAACATACGTTAAAATTGGAACGATACAGAGAAGATTAGCATGGCCCCTGCGCAAGGATAAAAAAAAAGAAAAAAAAAGAAAGAAAGAAGTTACAGAAAGTTAGAGAGACAAGCAAACAAACAAAGAAAGAAACAAACAAAGTTAGGCAGACAGACAGACGGACAGACACGGAGAGACAGACAGACAGACACAGAAAGTTAGACAGACAAACAGACAAAGAAAGTCAGACCGACAGACAGACAGACAAACAGACAGTCAAAGAAAGAAAGAAAGAAAGAAAGAAAGAAAGAAAGAAAGAAAGACCGAAAGAAAGGAAGGAAGGAAGAAAGACGGATCGGATTGGATCGGGGTGCGCGGACACGAACTGATACGTGAATAACACATCACATTCGTTAGACACAGCATGAATGTGATTAATCAAGCCTATTCGCTGCCGATTCGCGACAGATTCGCTCGATACTGGCCAGTCCACAGCGCAAGTTCCTCCTATCCGACCTCCCTAATGTATGGGTGGGGTGTGTGCATATATATATAGCGCAAGTTCCTCCTATCCGACCTCCCTAATGTATGGGTGGGGTGTGTGCATATATATATATCGTCACAAACAGAACTGCCCGGTAAACCGTAGGCAGATAGAGAGAAGAGGACAACAAACGAGGGGCTGTGACAAACTGTTTCGTCGGAGTTTCACCGACTCATCAGGAGGCTGAACCCTCAACAGTCTGCAGAATCCCCTCACTGATTACACTGTAAATGATAATCTACCTTAACCAAAATCAAAGTAGACTATCACTCACCCACACCAGATGGAAAACTCTACAGACTGTCGGTTCACACCCCATCACAAGCCAGCAAAACATCCACGAAACAAAGAAAGGTCTGTCACAGCCAAAAAATACACTCCAGACACGCCGCTGGCACTAGAGGCACAGCATGGGCGCCTAGTAACGGCCCCGACCACTGCCGCTCGACCTGACCGGAAAAAAACGTAGCAGGAAGCTAGCGAAGTCGTAGCATATATCGTCACAAACAGAACTGCCCCTGTCTCTTATACACATCTAGATGTGTATAAGAGACAGGCTCTGTTCGACTATATACATATATAATGTCAAACAGAGCTGCCCGGTAAACCGTAGGCAGAGAGGGAGAAGAGGTATATACATATATAAATAGTTTGTCACAGCCCCTCGTTCGGAGTTTCCTTGGTAATGGGTTGGTCAAGCTTTGGGCCTGGCCCACCCTATGGTAGCCCATCCAGTGCTCTACCTCTTGCAATGTAGATCACACGTTCTACCCCAGTAGATTTCGCCCATATATATCGTCAAACAGAGCTGCCAGGTAAACCGTAGGCAGAGAGGGAGGGAGGGCTGTGACAAACTGTTTCGTCGGAGTTTCACCAACTTTTATATAATATTATTTGTCCTCTTCTCTCTCTCTGCCTACGGTTTTACCGGGCAGTTCTGTTTGTGACGATATATATATCGTCACAAACAGAACTGCCCGGTAAAACCGTAGGCAGAGAGAGAGAAGAGGACAACAAACGAGGGGCTGTATACATGTACGTATAGGGAGAGAGTGAGAGAGACGTGCAGACATGCACAGAGAGATGGTGGAGCACGAGAGGAGGGGGAGAACGAGGCCGGGGGGCAGAAGGACGGCACGGACCGAGTATGGTGCCTACGGCTCGCAGTCTCGCACATGGCAAGCAAGGAGGAGAACGAGGAGGAGGTTTAGCAGGAGGTTTAGGAGGAGGCGTAGGAGGAGGCGTAGGAGGAGGAGTTACTGTAGGAACTGGAGGAGGAATAGGAATTGGAGGAGTTACTGTAGGAGAAGCCGTAGGAGGAGATGGAGTTACTGTAGGAGGAGGCGTAGGAGGAGGAGGAGTTACTGTAGGAGGAGTTACTGTAGGAACTGGAGGAGGACTAGGAATTGGAGAAGTTACTGTAGGAGGAGGAGAGGATGACCTTCCTGGTTGCTAATGGCATTCATGTGCGTGCATAACCAAGGGTTGGAACCCAGTTTTGCGGGAAAGCACGCGGTAAAGAGGAGCGCATGGACAGAAGGAGACATGGAGCAGCGAGGCCTGGATGTGAGGATCATCGTGACAAGCAATTTTGCCCACAAGCTCGCGAGCTTCATCGCTCAACGAATGATTATGACAAGCAATTGCCTAACTTCTTCTTCTTTTTTTTTTGCTTTTTTTTTCTTTTTTTCTTTTTTTTTTCTGCACAGGCTGCTACATCTATTGGTGGGGTTGGTGGGGTTGGTGGGGAGCTTCACCTTCTTGAAACCGGGTCCAGCGTCCCATAAATACACCTGTTTTGAAACCTTAAGCAATGGCCTACCACGTAGTGTACTTGTTTTTTCACTAAGTCTTGCTTTGACGATAAATAATACAAGAGAAGAAGGACACTAGATGTCATCGAACAAGTGCTGCTCCCCACCAATTATAGATCGGAGCCACCTGGCGGAATAGAGAATAAGGGTAGATGCTCTTATCTTTACCCCTAGCTGGACCTTCAGGATGCTCATTTATTTATTTGTTAAAAATAATAATAATAATAATAAAATAGGGATCTCATCGAACTCTTTCCAGCAGGTCGTCACCTTCCTCTCCTCTCAGATGGCACGCGCACAAATTTCGCCTACCGGCGAGATCACACTCAGTCTGGCGAAAACGATTGGAATTAAGTGTCTGAATCTGGACGAGTTTGGCGAGAGGTGCAAGAAACTGTAATTCATCTGCTTTTCTGCATCTCTGGATGGAACACGTCCAGATTCAGACACTTTTACTGCAATCCTCTTTGCCAATGGGATCTGGCCCTAAGCTTTTGTTTATTCGAGGATTTTGACTCTGGTGTCTTCGGGGGGCGAGGTCCCACTAATAGCAAAGAGAATTGATTCAAATCCTGAATCTGGACGTGTTTTTGTGCAGAGGTGCACATGATCGCGGCTCATCTGTTTTTCTGCATCTCTGCACAAAACACGTCTAGATTCAGGCGCTTAATCCAAGCCTATTTGCCAGTGGGACTTCGCCCCAGGAGGACTCACTTCTCACCCAGGACTGGTTGCGAACCGTCTGGCGGGAAAGGGCCCTCCTCATTTATTTTTATTTTTGACTATTTTCTTCTTCTTCTTCTTCTTCTTATTATTATTATTATTATTATTATTATTATTATTAGCAGGTGCCCTGAGAGGACAGGATGGGGAGAGGCGACAAGGAGGTCAGGTGGTATGCTCTCTCAGGAAATCTCAGGAAAGGGCCCTCCTCATTTTTTTATTCTATTTTATTTTCTCTTTCTTTTTTCCTCCTCAATTCTTATATCTCTTCTTGTTATTATTATTATTTTCTTTTAATTTTTCAATATTTTTATTCGTTTTTTTATTCTATTATGATTACTGGTTTTAACTTTATTTTCTGAGGAGAAACGTCCATTCTGCATCTCTGATATCTTTTTTTTTTACCGTGATTCCTTTCACTGTATCGCTCCAATTCTATGGCAGGGCCGATGTCCAGCTAGCAATTGAAAGAGGATTGGACTGAACGCCTGAATCTGGGCGTGTTCATGGAAAGGTGCAGAAAATCGATATCGATCTGCTTTTCTGCATCTCGACCTTAAAACACGTCCAGATTCAGGCGGTAAATCCAATACCCTTTGCTAGTGGGACCTCGCCCCAGCTGTAGTTTCCCTGAAGGTCGATTTTATCAATTTGACTGTGAATATCACCAAGAAAGTCAACTCGATTTTTTGCTTTTCGGAGAGGATTTTTTCTATTATTATTATTTTTTTAATGTCACAGGCTCAAAAGAACGACCAACAATTATCTCTGAGGTATGTATATGCCAGCAAGCAAATGCTGAGTTTTGTGTATTCAAATGAAAAGAAAAACATCATTTTTTTTTTTTTTTAAGCACTTAGAAATTCTAATTAACATGTAGGAGACTCGGAAAAAAAAAAAAAAAAAAAAAACGATCGACTTTTTCTTCTTTTTTTTTTTTAATATACAACACCAAGGAAGAACCAATTAACAAAA